CGGCGTTGGCTCGACTGAGAAGTCCTTCTCCAGGGGCATCAGCACGGATGAGCGTCCGAAGCGACCTCTGACGCCCTATTTACGCTTCTTCATGGAAAACCATCCAGTTCTCAAGCAAAAAAATCCAGGTATGAGGTGTGAAGGCGCGAGAGGACTCGCGATTGGCTTCATTTTGCGTTTAGAAATGCGAAGTCTTAGCATGTCAAGCGTGCCAGAGGTTCTGTTGTAAGCTGCGCTCAGTTCAGATGCGTACAGTGTTTTCCCGCTGGAATGTGATTTACAAAGAAAACTGGAACAGAGTGTTTATCTGTAAAAATAAATGTCGTGAATAGTGAGTACCATCAGTAACCTCCCTGGTGTTGGATGCCTTTAAGTTACAGCTGGACAGTGTGCCAGGCCATCTAGTCTAGTTCATGCTTTGCTAAGGAAGGTCAGATCAGATGAACATCAGATCGTAGAATGGTTTGGGTTGGAATGGACCTTAAAGATCATTTAGTTGCAACCCCCCTGACATGGTCAGGGACATCTTCCACCAGACCAGATTGCTCAAAGCCCCATCCAACATGGCCTTGCATGCCCCAGATAATCAAGCCTCTCTCTCTCCCAGCTGAAGCAACCCTGTAACACTTTCCTCATGTTAGCTAAGAGGGGTAACAAAGTACAAGACATGTACAAAAACAATTTCTAAAATAATGTAAAAGCTTTCCTGAGCATACATGAAAGTGCATGATACCCATAGTCAGCCTCTGCATTAACTCATTCTGTAGACAATGCACTAGTGGAAAATTGAAAAAGACAGCTTCTGTACCAATATCCAAAATGCCTCTGTTCTTGGGAATTTGTATTCCCGTGATTTTTTGCTGTGCCCTTTCACAGTGGTGTACACTACAGCAATATTCAGCAAATTATCTGTGGCTGAGTTCATGCTGTAGGTGAACTGTAGGTTGTCTGAGGATGTTCTAGATCATGTCTGAAACAATAAGAATTGATTTCTAATTCTGCCAAGGTCATTTGGGACCTAAATATCTCAGTTCCGTTGTGGTCCTTTCAACCCAGTATTGTGTGATATTACGAAGTGACCAAGGCGTATTACCCAGGTTTCAGGAGACCAAACTCATATTTTATCTTTATTTTTATTGCCACGTATTGCCTGTATGTGTATTAGCTTGGTCTTCTATATTTAGCAACTCAAAAAATATTTTGTGTAACTTTAAAAATGCTTGAAGAAAGAGCTCACCTGGGCCATGCATGTTAACAATGATTTGTGGTTTTCAGTTACTTTAAAATTTGTCTTTATTTGAAGTACACTATCACTACTATAACAAGCTGTGTATGGTTTTATTCTAATGCTTTGTAATTTAAAAACTACTGGGTTGCCTTAAAGTGTGTATGAGAAAAAGTAAATTTACTTAGAAGAAAATGGTTTCTGTTAATATATTTAATTTATTATAAAAAAATTTATAGTCAATGCAGTCATTCTTCTTGCTAGAGGGAAGCAAAATGAAATGCAGCGTTGATTTGGAAAACAATGTTGAATGTAAAAATGCTTAAAGAACTGTGGTCATACTGAGCAAGTCATGAGGTAAATTTAAGTAGGGAAAAACATTTGATACCATGTTTTGCTTGGTAGCTCAACAGTCTGAAAGGTTAAGAACTGAACTTGCAGATCTTACTGTAGTTATGTGCCACACCAGTGTTTCCTATGTTTCCCAAATTTGAATAATTGCAAATAATTGTACTGTATCTCACATACAGATTGAGATCTTGGGGCTTTCTTGTTCCAGTGGAGGTAGTGTTCAAAAATAACCTGATAATTTATCTGTTTTCTTTTAGCATTGGCAAAGTATCATGTTTTCATTGGTTTTAAGAGTGGTATAAATGGACTAAAAACTTCCCATCTGTCTTGTTTTTCCAGAATTTTGGAAGTCAGGTTACTGATAAGAGCATAGGTCTGCTTTCCCACTGTTGAGGTGGCTGAACTTTACATTTGAGGTGGGCGAGAGGAAGAGCTATTTTTTTTCTTTTAGTGTGAAGCAGAGAAAAAGCTTGTTAAGAGTTTTTCAAGACAAGAAAAGCTTAGTGCCTCTTTCCACCACTACCACCTTTTTCTTTTTTTGTCATTTTCTTCCTTCAGAAGTTCAGGTCTGGCTGGAAACCTCATCAAAGGGCCAGAGTCAAACACAATCACCTGAAAACCAGAGCAGATTTAAGTCACTGTAATTTTGTTTGTGAGAGAAAAAAATTGCTTTTTCTTTTAACTTCTGTTTAATAATATTGTAACTAAAGGACTATGTACTATATCAGGTGGATAAGGTCACATGATATTTCCTTTGAGGAATCCAGCCAAAAAAAGTAAGAACTGGAAATTTTACTTCTGATTTCTTCCCTGTCTCCACTCCAACTTCTGACCATCTTGCATTGTATAGGAAGGATCCAACTTAAAACTAAAAGAAAACCAATGAAACTGTTGTGGAGTTGTAATAGGTGTCTGTCTGTCTTGAAATGGTGCTTCAGTTTAAAACTGCACATTTCTTTTGAGTGTGAACCAAGAACAGAGACTCTTCCTCTTCCCCCCCCAAATATTACAATTCCCTTTAGCTGCCACAGTAAGTTAGTCAGTTCCGTGAAAGCAGGAAAATATATTTGTACAGGAAGAAGATACTAGTGACATATTTCCTTGGGGAAAAAAATGAAGAAGACAGAATATTGATCTTTATTTTCTTGCTTTCTAATCTTAATATACAGAAATGGGCAGCAAGGAGCTGGTTAAAAAATTGGCAGGTACTTGGAGGGAGTTACCAGCATCGCAGAAGCAGGTGAGTTTGTAACTTTGCCTGGTGTACCAAGACTATAGAGTATATAATAGTTGTTTTACTTGGTTTGCTGTCCTCTTTTTTTTTTTTTTTTTTTTTTCCTATATTGGAGGGGGTGTGTGTGCACATGGTGGTTCTTCTGGTGGGGTTTTTGTTTAGGTTTTCTTTAACAACAGTTAAAAAGTACTTGTATACAAGTGTTCAGACATAACAATTCTGAAGAGAATATGGAGCTTTGAAGTACTCAAGGGAAGTGTGGTGGGTTGACCCTAAGTGCACACCAGGTGCCCACCGAAGCCACTCTTTATCACTCCCGGTCCTCAACTGGACAGGGGCAAGAAAATATAACCAGGTGCTCAAGGACAGGGAGAGATTAGTCACCAATTACCATCACAGGCTAAATAGACTCAACTGGTGGAAATTTGTTTAATTTGTTACAAATTGAATCAGAGTAGGATAATGAGAAATAAAACTAGATCTTAAAACCACCTCCCTCCACCCCTCCCTTCTTACCAGGCTTAACTCTTTTATTCCCAATTTCTCTACTTCTTTCTCCTAGCAGTGCAGAGGTATGAAGAATGGGGGTTGTTGTCAGTTCATCACATACTGTCTCTGCTTCTCCTTCCTCCTCAGGAGGGGGACTCCTCACACTCCTCCCCTGCTCCAGCCTGGGGTCCCTCCCCCCTTCCTAAACATGTTATCCCAGAGGCGCTGCCACCGTCGCTGATGGGCTCAGCCTTGTCTGTCATGGAGCCACCAGCTTTGGCCCTGTTGGACATCGGGGAAGCTTCTAGCAGCTTCCCACAGAAGCCACTGCCGTAGCTCTCCTGCTACTAAAGCCTTCCTGTGTAAATCAAATACAGGAAGATACTTTGACACTTGTACACAGGACCTTAGTTTTGGTGGGTTTAATCTGTTGCCAGAAAAATGACACAGCTCTTGCTTTATGTGGCTGTAGGGCCATGAACCAGTATCTCATTTCTTTTTGAATGGTAACTGTGTGTGTGCATTACATGTGTAATAGCATAAGTATTGGAAAGTCATTCTGCTTTCATATGCATAAGTTAGATGAAACCTCAGTTAATGTTGATGGACCTCAACTCTTTTTTTCTGCTGATTAGGTAGTAACCTGAGACTTAACTTACAGGTAACTTTCTTCAAGTTTCATCTAGTTAACTTTTTGTCATAAGTAGTGAAGTTTCTTTAAGAGTGGCAATTTCAAGGGATAATGCAAAACAAGCCTAGGAACTGCTAATCATCTCTGAGTATAAGTGCCATTTCCAGGAAAGTAATGATTTTTCTTCCTTGATTGCAATTAGCAATTAGATTCTGTTGGGAACTAACTGCACTTTTCTAGCTGAAACCATACCTTTGTTCAGTAGAATTGAAGTGCTCTTATACCCCTTCTGGACTTCTTGCTGTGGTATAAAGTATGACTGCCCATTTGTATGTCTGAAACGGAGAACAGGATAGTGATTTTTTCAGGGCTACCTGGATGCTTGGTAGCCTGGCTCAGCTGGTTTTGGTGCCCTGGTACCAAGACCATGATTTTGTGATGCTTCTGTACCTGGTGTTGGCCAGTGTAGCAGTGTGTTTGGTGACTGGAGCACTTAGGTGCTGCACTGAGTATACACACATTACAAGTAATCCTTTCAACCAAGCTTCAGCTTTTCCCCCTTCTATGGAAGATTATTACTGCTTTGAGCTGCCTCTGAAGATTTGTCCAGTGTTACCAGATCAACTAAGATAATTAACAGTAGGAGGCAAGGTTTCGAATCTGAGTTCTTCTCAATCAATTCTGCTACTCAAAACAGATCTGAAATTGCTACTTTATTTTAAAAATCTTATGTTTCAGGGTAGCCTGTAATATTTTTTACTAGTAGGTTAAAAGTGTTAGCTTGTTTAAATGGTTAAGTGCTTCTCTGACTGAAAGCATCTGTTTAAGGTTGGTGATGGTTTGTGTTGAAGGTTTATGAGGAAGCTAGCAAGACAGACTGGCAAAGGTATGAAAAAGAGGTGGCTGCATATAAAGCACAGCTAACTCCAGCCCAGGCTGCAGCTTTGAAAGAAGAAAGGAGTAAACGACTAGCAAGAAGAAGATCATTAAAGTTAAAAAAAGTAAGTATTTTGAAGTTCAAGTTTATTTTCTTTCAAGGAACCTAGAGTCTATTTGTCTAGTACACAGAGCAGAGTTGAAATGTTTAGAAATGTAAAAGTGATTAAGAATTAAAAAAAACCCACAACCCACACCACAAACCCACCCTGCCCCAAGATAAACCCAAAACAAAACCAACCAACCAAAAAAACCCACCAAAACCAACCAACCAAAAAAAACCACCCACAACCCCGTGGACTAAAATAATTGCTGGCGTTAGTAGTTATTTTAGTAGCTCTCCTCTATTTGAAGACCTGAACTATCACGTATCTTTGTGCTTAGAGGTAGCTTCCCTATGATTTTTTTCTTCATATTCTGAATGCTCCCAGAGAAATGACAGGTAGTAAAAGACATTTGAACCAGCAATACTTTCCTTGGTTGGAAAGGCATCCAGAAATAGCTTCTCACAAAGGCCTTGTATCTGTGACTTCAGTGGGGCATGCTACAAGTAGTAGCTATTTGAAGTAGTCTGTTTTCCTTACTTTGGATTTGTTTTACACTTTGCTATATGTGTAGCTGTTGATGTATTGAATTAGGGCTGCATAGAAGCGCATCTGTTAGGTGTCCTTTATCATAGGCTGGTTTGGGTTGGAAGGGACCTTAAAGATAATCCAGTTCCAAGCAGCAATGGGCAGAAGACACTCTCCATTAGATCAGGTTGCTCAAAGCCCAGCCGCATCCAGCCTGGTCTTGGAACGCTTCCAGGTATGGGGCACCTACAACTTCTCTGGACAACCTGTTCCAGTGTCTCACCAGCCTCACAGTAAAGGACTTCTTCCTTATGTCTAATCTAAACCTATGCTTTTTCAGTTCAAAGCCATGTCCTATCCCTACAAGCCCTTGTAAAAAGTCCATCTCCAGCTTTCACATAGACCCCTTTGAGGTACAGAAAGCTGCTAGAAGTTCTCCCTGGAGTTTTCTCTTCTCCAGACTGAACAAGCCCAACTCTCAGCCTGTCTCCATATGAGAGGTGCTCCAGCCCTCTTATCCTCTTCATGGCCCTCCTCTGGACTTGCTCCAGCAGGTCCGCGTCCTTCTTATGTTGGGGAGCCCACAGCTGAATGCAGTGCTGCAGGTGGGGCCTTGTGAGACCAGGGTAGAGCACTTTCACCTCTCTTAGCCTGCTGGTCATGCTTCTTTTGGTGCCACCTAGCACACGGTTGGCTTTCTGGGTTGCAGTCGCACATTACTGGGTCACATTGAGCTTCTCCTCAACCAACACCCCCAAGTCCTTCTCCTCAGGGCTGCTTTCAATGCCCAGCCTGTATTTGTGCTTGGGATTGCCCCAACCCATGTGCAGGACCTTGCACTTCGCTCTGTTGAACTTTGAGATTCACATGGGCCAACTTCTTAAGCCTGTCAGGGTCCCTCTGGGTAGTATGCCTTCCCTCCAGTGTGTTAGCTGCACCACACAGCTTGGTGTCATCAGCAAACTTGCTGAGGGCGCACTCGATCTTTGTCGCTGACAAAGATGTTGAACATCCCAATACTGACCCCTGAGGAATGCCACTCATCACCAGTCTCCACTTAGACATGGAACTGTTGACCACAACTCTTTGAGTCATCATCCAGCCAATTCTTTATCCACCAAGTGGTCTGTCTCTCAAATCCATGCCTCTCCGATAAAGGATTGTGAAAATTTAAGTTGTTAATTTTTCTTAATTTAGTTTAGCATTAGTTTTGACGAGTGGTGAAAGCATCTTGACATACAGTCCAGTTTATGGAATAAGCCACCAAAACCTGAATTTGAGACTCATTTTTTTTGTAAAATATGAAGATAAATGGTAAGCTTCGTTTTGGAAAAATGCACGCTTGACAGATTGAATAACTTTCCTTTTTGTTTTTAAAGGAATTGACTGTGCTTGGAAAACCTAAAAAACCTCGAAGTGCCTTTAACATTTTTGTGTCAGAAAAATTTAAAGCAAGTGAGGGAGTTTCACCTGCGGTAAGCCAAGAAAGATTGTTCTTTAAAACAGATCTACTGTATCCAGAAAATCTGTTTTAGATTCTGTCATTTTCAGTAAAACTGTTCAGTAGTTCATTATGTGGATTTCGCTTTGTTTAGGTTATATTTCTTTTAGGCTGCGATGATCTGGCTGTACTGCTGGTGACATGTCCTATATAAACTGCTGTAGCAATATTTGTGCAATTTTTTGCACTTCAGTGTTAGAGATTTTATCTGTTCATTCTGTAAGGAGAGAATTCTACTTCTCTTTGTTTTGGTGTAGAAATACATTATTTTTTCAAATGGTTGTGGTGGCCTGCTACCATTTCTCTAGTGGTTATTGTACCTCCTGTAGTGCAGTTGATATTACAGAACATGGAAGAGTTCCTCAGCAAACTCACAAGTTCTGCACTAAACTGTGCTTTGGGGTGATTGAAGCTACGCTGGCAGATTACAGCACTTGGTGTGCCCGATACATTTGTTACCATAAGCAGTTAGTCACTAAATCAAGGTGGTGGAAACAGTTTGTTCCTTGGTTTTCTATGTACAAGGCAGGCATCTCCAGTTAGCTGAGGCCCAGTATGACACACCTGTGGCCAAATACTCCTGAAGTGATACAAAGTTTCCTGTAAACATGGTTAATACCTGTGGGGTCTTGGGTTAAGTTAGGGGTTGTTCTAAATGAAGCTGATAACACAGGGTGAGATGTAGTCATGTTGCTACAAATCAGCTCAGCTGCTGTGTCTGCCTGCTTTCACAGGCAGACATGTGCTTGTATTCTCTGTAAATGTGGCTCAGATGAGGCCCAGAGACTTGTTGAACAGTATAGTTCATTATTTCTCTATGTTGGGTGGGTGCCGTATTAAGCCTGTGTGAGTTTGTGCTTTTTCACATTGGTTTGTACTTGGCTTCCACTGTGGCATCTGTAACCCTCTGTGGTCAGCCTGCTGGTAGAATAATCCTAATATATTGCATCTTCTATATCCTGTAGGCAAAGCTGAAGCATTTATATGATACATGGCAAAAACTGTCAAGTTCCCAAAAGCAGGTATGTCAGTGGATTTCGGTGAGGCTCTGATCTAATCTGAAAATGACAGACTTGAGTCAAAATTAATACATTTGTACAGAATCTTGAACTTGGCTCCTCAAAATACAATACTGAAGAAAATTCTCAGATCTTGCTAAAGGATCTTGAAAAATGTTGTCATTACTTTTACACCATTAGTGACCATTTCTTTACAGGGTTGATGAAATGTGAGCCAGTTGGATAGGATGGAAGTTCTGTATGTCTGGACAGGGATGCTGAGTGGCATCTAGGGAGAAAGGTGGAATAATTTGCAACAATTTGATTTTTTTTCTAATTTTTTTTTTTTTTAATGCCAGCATAGTAATTTGCTGCTTGTGGAAAGAATTTGACAGGTAAAAGCAACAGAAATATACAAGTGATGTGTACATGGTATTTTGTTAACTTTTTTTATTTGATTGCCTTGGGATAGTTTTCTGCCAGCTTTCTCAGTGTATTGAAATACGAAGCTGCGGATGAGTAAATCACAGGGGTACTATACTAAAATGTAGGCTAACCCTCCAGATTTTCAAGTATTCTGTACCTTACTGTCCTTCCTCGTGACTGCTCTTCTTCCAGATTGCTTTGACTGTGTTCTTAGAACATACACTAGGTTCATGTTCTTCCTGTAGAAAAATAACTTGAAATAGTTCTGCAGAAATACCTGTTCCTTACTTAATCCAGCTCTACTCTCTCAAACTATTTCTTAAATTAAAAGCCTTAGCTGTTAGTAGCAATATTGAATAAACTTCCTCTTCAGGAATGGCCATCTGTTGACATAACCATGATACAGTGATAAGGTTTTGTATTTTTGCGCGAATTTGATATTTTTTAATAATTTGGTGGCGAACATGAATGCCTGGGATACACATTCGTACTGAACAGGTCGTGTTCGAAGTCACCTTTGCATCAAAGGGGAGGATGTGACATGACAGTTATCCAGACAAAGCCTCTTCCGTAACTGTTGATACCTCATTTTTTTCCAGCCGTACCTGCAGCTTGCTGAAGATGATAAGATTCGGTATGAGAATGAAATGAAGCTGTGGGAAGCAAAAATGGTTCAACTTGGACGTGAAGACCTGGTCCGTTCCGGAAAGGAGAAGCCAAAAAAGAAAACTGCTGAAACTGCAAAGAAAGCTGAACCGGTTAAAGCTTCCTCACATGAAAAAAAGGTGAAATTAAAGTTAAAAAAATCAGAAGAATAAAATGGTCAGGAATTTTTATATTTTAATCCCCTTTGGTTGTCATGTCTTCATCATGCTGTGTTAATGCCGCAGTCAGCATTAGCACTGAAATTTGGAAAACCCATGAAGGGCTCATTGCAGAATGAGAAAAGGTGATCAGGTGAGAGAGGATTCAGCGTCCCTCAGAACTGACCAAAATAATCATTGCAGGTGTAGCCTGAACTGTCTAACAGTAACTGGTTAATCAAGCTGTGAATAGTGATACCCACTGGCATCAGCAGAGCTCTCCAGCAATGGCAGATAATAGCTACAGGTTTTATATTTTTTTATGAAAGCATCAACATTCTACAATGTTACCATCTAAATTCTGTAAATAAGAGCTGAAGTCCAAGTTAATGCTGCTGTGTTCTATTCCCTCCATGGTAATAGTAGTGAAATGTTCTACATTTCAGCAGAAGGTGCAAGAAATGTAAAATACTAACTTTTATTTCATGCATCTGTCTTTTTGTACCTATCAGCCTGTGAATACCACTTGCATTGCATTTAATTAAAGACCAGAGGAGTTTTGTATAAACATATCTTTATTGGGCTTTTATTCCATGGTTTTGTTTGGATACACGCGAACACTTCCGCCTTCCTGTTGTCACATCTGGGACAGCCTGGAAGGAACAGAAAATGTGTGAACGGTTGACACGTGGATTTTTGATGTAATAAACAGGAATTTCCAAGAACTGCCAGGGTTTGGTTATTTTCTTTGTTTGCTGGGGTCTCTGTCTTAGTGAAAGTCTCACGGGTACTTTGTTGCATCTGTGTTTTTAGAGGGCAGGCAAGCTTTTTCAGTAGTCAGTGGATTTCATCCACCCAGAATCGCCCACAAGGGCCAGCAAAGCTGGTAAGTGGAAACACAAACACGATTCTCTTGCCTGCCCTTCCTCCGTCCCCCTTTCTTCCACGCTATGCTAGTGCCTCCGCCGGGCGCTGCACCTGCTGGCCTGACGGGCCCGCGCGTGCGCGTCTCGCTTCGCCCCG